TAAGTCTTAGATATGTCTGTAGCAGAGCAATAAGCTGAATAGGGAGAATTTGATAAAGCAGAAACTGAAGTCAATGTGGAATAAACTGATTCCTGAAGTTGATTAGATCTTCTCAAATATATCTCAACTGCAGATTATAGAGGCTATCAAAGATTTGGTGGGGTGTAAGTTTATTTGAAATTTCTAATAATTGAGCCACAAGTTGCAAATCGTTCAAATTTGGTATCTAATATCTCTATGTAGCCGCCATAAGAGTTGGTTTCAATAAATGTATTATAATCGAAGTAAAGATTTCTGAAAATGCAATTCTATAATGAGATTTTATATAGAGGGGACATTTACTTAAATCCTTAATGTAGGTGGTTTAGTCAAGATTGTCTTCGAGGTAATATCAAACTTGATAAAAGAATATCCATCGGAAATCTGGCATTGATCAGTCCTATTTATTAGAATTAAGGTTCCAATACTTACGCTTTAAATGTACTTTTACAACCGTAGTTACCATTATCTATAAATTCACTAGAATCCGAATTGATATTGCAGCATTAGAGTTTCTTACTTAAACAATCATTAGTATCTTTGGTAGCTATACTTATTTTCAAAGATTTTAAATATTCTTACGCAAGATGATGGAATCAATCCAATCAATCACAATATTCTTAATTGTAAGTCCAGAACCTACTGCTAATGCCAATTAATCTCTGAACTTATTATAGATCGTAACCTTTTCATTGTCCTCAACACATATATTTGGATTTGAGTTGTTCTAAGAGCAAAACAAAGGCAATATTGTAATATTTGTAACTGAGTGTGTGTTATCAAGTCTAGAGGACATATAGAATTGCTTTGCTGATCTAAGTATGTAATGATCTCCCTTATACAAATTTATTTCAACTGAGCAAGTTTCTTTTGATGGAGCACAGAGCTCCAATGCTTTACGAATAGCATCCTCGACAGTGTAAAAGGGATTATTATAGCCATCTGATTCAATGGTTGGCTTGTAATTATCAGATGGGTTTTCAGAAGTCACATAAAGTTTGTAGGATTTACTAGTCTCATGTTTTGCCATGCAAGTACCATAAGAGACTCCTTGATATTAATATTCTAGGTATTAGCCTACTTTACAACCTATACATTAATTGCTAGATGAGCCAATACAGGTAACACAAGATGAATGGCAGTCTAAATGAAAATAAAGATCAAAGTTTAGAAATTAAAAAGTGTCAACATACTTGTGCAATAAGATTAGGAAGGAATACCTCTCACGCTAAAGACAAAATCAGGAAATGTCCCAGTAGGACTACAAGTAAATATCAATACTAACAGATTAAAATGGATCCTTACCATGTTGATTGACAAGCACCGTTTACAATAAAACCATTCAAACAGGCATTGCAAATAGTTTATTATTAGTTTTAAGGATTTAACTGACAACTTGCACAATCAGTATAGAATTAGCTATATCCAAGCATATTTTTATTACAGTCTAAAAGTCTATGATGATCAAATTGATAAATTACCTAAACACTATTGCTTGTAGGTTCCTGAACCTGGCTATAAAATAGAACTTATCATATTTTTAGTATCGCATAACTCACATTCATAGTTAGTATTACATTCTAGACAGTCAGTGATTTTACAAGAGGAGCAAACTAACTTAGAGTTGACAAAGTATTAATCCAAGCACATCTTACAGTTCATATCATTACCATCCTCTCCCTGAATACAGTTATCTAAGATATCATTAATTCCATTCTAAGAGCAAGTTGAAGAGTACTTAGATGAACAACTTAAGCATTTATTAATGTCATTTTGATCACAAGATAAGCAGTATTTGTAATTATTGCAAGCTAAATAATATAAGTTAAATTAGAGCATATTCCAATCATTTCATTGGTTCTATCAATTATAGATAGCTAGAAGTTTGGGAATTGGTGGGGGTGGGAATTTTACTTACGAACGCATTTTTTTGCAGTTTAGTTAAATGTTGCAGATGAATCTAAGGCATTTACCCATCCTTAATTGCCAGTGTTTTCGGGAGAACATGTCTCACAACCAAGTTACAAATTGCAAGATTTACAATATGTACCACAATCCTAGCATTTCTGCGTAATGGGATTATTAATGTATTGATAATGAGCTTGCGAGCAATCTGCAACACAAAATGAAAATTGATCAGGATATAGCGAATTGAATGTATTGTTTTAAAGTAAGTACAAACCCTCATAGCAGCCAGAACATTGTACAAACTAACTTGAGCCTTGTGATACAGATTTGCACATTCGACAGCCATATATGAAATTGGAACACTCTAAAAAATCAATTGTATATTATTACTTTTGCATTAAGAGTCTGTATACGAAAAAAACTCATCTACATCACCTATAGCAAAAATATGAATTAATATTATATCTTACATTCTGTTTACGCTATTGTTGATTCTATTCATGCAAAGAGTATAATAAGTAGTGGGATGAGAAGATAGGATCTATTACTATGTGTATATTTTTATAAATTCATATTAAGTTATTTATAATTTTGGCTTTAAGATAAATAATGTATAAATACCAAAGAAATCATTTAATTTCATTCTATTGCTTTATAATAAAGAATAGATATAAATTAATTCAAAATACCTTTAAAACATACTATTTAATGGGTTTGGGGTTTTGGGGTTTTGGGG